AGGTTTACATTGGATCCTCTGAGTTAAACTGCCATTTTTGTGTATTTTTAAGTTTTTGACAAGACACACGCACACGCAAAAGAATGATCAAGATGAGAAAAGAAATTGTGATAAACTCTTGCTGCCTAACAATATAAACTACAGACACAAATTGCTGTTCTATACGAAATTTTTGATTGTCTGGAAAGATGGAAATGAGATGGAAAAGGTGGAATGGCTTTTCCTGCTGAAGTGTTTGTTGGTGCCAGATGGTCTGTGCCTGATTCTTTCATGTTTGTGCCACATTTTGACCCCCTGCCATCTGAACATCACTGCAGGACTTTTCTCCTCACACCGCAACACATTTTGGTCTTTTATTGTTTGAATTCAATGAAGCGTTGTATATCATAGTTTCAGTTTTATGTTCTTCATGACAGGATTGATGTGTGTTGTGGTGCTCTGTTGCCGTATCCAATTTGCTCTAAGGCTCTTTGTTAGGTGATAACATTTGTCACAAAACATGTTGTGTTGTTATTGAGGCAATGACATGACAATATGTGAAAATGGGCTATAGTTGGATCGTCATTGGCGTAATAAATATGAAAATTACTTCATCATCATCATAGCGCTGGGTGATACTGGGTGGGTACTAAAAATTGATCTTATCTGTGTGCTGTGCTGTTTTAGATGTATACTGTGATTCAGTAAGTCTGTATTTGCAGCTCCATGGTGTAACACAGACACTTTTCCCAAACCGCTGTTTTTATTGATAAGCCTTCGTCGTGGCCAGACTTAATGACATGAGAATTTAACCAGTTGCAGTGACGTAGAGACGTTTCATCTGTGGTCATCTGGACATCTTAAAGATACTCAGAGTAGGATGAATTCCCAGTGCTTCAAGCCAGCACCATCAATTGAAAATGGCTTCTGGATGGCAGCCAAAATGTCTTGATCACAGAAAAGTCCAGATGACCCCAGATGAAACCTCCTATGCATTGAATCACTCCTGGATGAATGAACAATTACACTGTCTCAGTTGTTACTTTTTAATAACCTATACTAGTATAATCATACCATATCTGCATGAATTGTGATAAAATCATGATCTAGGCTCTATTCATATTGCCCCTTCTTTATCAACATTATCTGTATAATTTTTGTCTAGTCTGTTTATTTCTCCTGCAATTATGACAATTTTCTTTATTTTGTACTAGTCCCCAGGAGGAAATACCAAGCTTTTAGTTTTAGACCTTTTCATTGTGTTTAGAAGACAGCTGGCCGAGAATACTCAAACTGATGCTGTTCTAGTAATCACTCTAGAATCCAGATTACATTATAAAACTACGGCTGATCCTTAAAACAACAAAATCATGCGCTGTTTAGATACGCCGAACTTACCAGATGTCCCAAATCATGTAGTGCTATGAAGAATTGTAGCAAATACTGGACCAAGGAGTAGAGAGTCATCAATATTTATTTTATATGTTGTTGTTGTTGTTGTTGTTTTTTTCATGGCAGATGATGATACCTATTGTTTAGAATGCATAGTTGAGCCAATTTAGATTCCCCAAATTATGTAATTAAAATTGACTAAAAACTCACCTTCAGCCCTCTTTTTCATCACAAACCTGTAAGAGAGTTGTGTTTTCAGCCGTTTTGTATTTGCACTTAATTGTTCAAATAAAGCTTTATGGGGAATTTTAGGCTGCATGTCACACAAAACAAAATATTGGCATGTGCTGGAGATTTAAGGCCAATATCTGATATGCTAAAAAGTCCAAATATTGGTCCAAGGAGTAACATGTAATCCTGGAAGAACATTGGGGAATTCTACAAAATACCTAAACTAAATATTTGCAAAGTGAGTGGGTGCAACTGTCAGAGTGTTTTCCCTGGTTGGCAATTTAGTAGTGTCTTGATTTTGTTGCAGTCACTACAAATCAATTTTTATGGAGGTTTAAAGTGTCTCATTTCTGACCTGTAATATGCACTGCTTTCTATCTTGTGTCCATCATAGTCTCTTGCTTCATCTAAAACTTACTCTGATAGGCAGGCTTTGCACTTCTCTCAACCTGGCGTCTTTCCAAGTATTATAATAAAGTACTTGGCTCCATAAACCTTTGTCAATAAACCAGACTCTTGCACCTTCCTAATTTCCATGTTTCACAGTGGTGCTTAAGGCAGAGCTAAAGAGGAAGAGGAGGAAAGTGATGTATTGATTTGAAGATGGTAAAGTTGACATATTGGATGTATTTGGACAGAGGCAAATGTGTCCTTTTGGCAACACCTGAAGGTAACAGGTAACAGAGCAGAAACGGGGATCAACAAGGAGAAATAAGAACATTTGTTGTGGTCTTCGCAATTGATACTTTGCAGCTGATGTCAACAACATTTCCTGAGGGTGTGACACTAGCTGAAGGCTTAACTCTGTTTGAAGTTAGATTTTAATCTGTTCTTTGTTTTACCACAATTGCAGAGCTGATTTAGATGGACAAGTGAGCTGATTTGTACTGATTAAATCTCTTTCATGTAAAATTACAGTCAAAAGCAGTAGTATTACCTACCCAACAGATTTTGAGTTAGTTACTCTCACCTTTTTTGTTGAAAAATGAAGACCGGACCATTAATGCTTATATTGATGACAGGCTCCTGAAAATACTGTGCTGTTTTGTATTTTTTCTTAAGTTTTCTGACTATCGTAAACTATTTTTGGTAGTGTTTGCTAATGTGCACATTATGTCACCATTTTAACTTCTGAACATTCCACCACAGACATAAATGTAGACCCCCCCCCCAGCATGATGCCAGAATGTCTTGTGTGAAAACATGAAATATATGAAATCATGACTTTGGCTTGAAATGTATAACTGTATTTTTCAGTTCAGTGATATTGCACAGAGCTTCTATTATGTGTTTCAGGATTATAAGAAATAAAAAGTAACTAATAATTTAAAACTAAATATATCCTTTGAATTTTGAAAAAGAAAAAAAATGTAACAGCAACAAATAGCTTTTATTTGGGTACTTTCCAAAACAGTAAATCTATTTGACTGGGCTGAACAAGAACATAATTTAATATGTTTTAATATTAATTATGTCACGGGTCATAGAATAAAATGGGAAGTTGTTCTTAAAATCTCGTGGTAAAGGAGTCTGTGGTTACTTTGGCTAGCTTGTATAGAATTTCTTGGTGTATACTTTTATTGTAGCTATAAATCCTGTCTCAAAATCCTATTATTTATCTCTCATGTTTGCTGCAGTGACAGGATGCGCTGCTGAATATAAGGGGAGCCTGCTGCAGTCTGTGTTTGATAGCAATATAACAACTCTTCTTCTCTGTCTGTCTTTTCATATATCAAGAGCTGCCAAAATATTTCCATTAAAACCCTAGGCCCTCCATAACCACTGCCACGGAGCAACTCACAGCAATGATGGATTAACTGTTTATTCTCAGCAGCGCTTAATGAAAAATGTGTACTTCTAGCTTCATCCTGTATTCATTTCTCTGCCCTCGCTGAAGTCATACACCTACATTATGCTCTTTTCTTGACATTTCAGTTGTCAAGATTCATCTCTGGTTGGTAGTGTAAATATTAGCAACTTTTAATGTCAAAGTGTCATCAGGAAACATGCAGAGGGGGACCAGAAACCGATGTGGGCTGTGCAGAGTTTGCAGACAAGTTTCAAAAGAAGTAGAAAATAGATCTAGACTGTTTTTGGTATAGATTTTCGTTCAGATGATTTGAATCTAAATCATCATATACTGTGTAATTTTCACTTGTCTCATATGTCTCTTTATTGGTACGTCATTGAATGTCAATAATTTGGCTGTATCACCGTGTACATGTCTAAACAGTGGAACACAAACTGCAAAAGGTGTAGCACGAACATTATAATGTCTGTCAGTAGACACAAGTTTCAGTCAACAAGAACAAGACAAGGCAAGATTTTGAAAGATTTGTTATCCAGTTATATTTGTTATTTAACATCCATTCTAATTCAGTTCCGGTTTTGTTGTCATTATAGGGCTGTGTTTTGGAACTACAGCTCTAGGAGGTGTAACTTGCTACTTTTTGTCCAATCCACATGGAACACATGGAAAGAAAATATGATGAGATAATTTTTCTCTTGTGTCCAGTTTTGTGTGGCAGGTTTGAATTCTTGTCCCATCCTCATCCATCAGTCATGAGCACACTTGCAGACGAGTGCATTATGCCTGTCGTCATGTATACCTTTACCTTACAATGCAGATGGAATTTGTTCAGCAACACCACATAATATTTAACTCTAATATTTAGCATCTTTAGCTCAGACTCAATTTATTTATTTTTTTTTACATAGGGTTCCAATAGTCATGGAAATCCTGAAAGAGTCATGGAAATTGAAAATGTAATTTTCTAGCCCTGAAAAGTCATGGAATTTTATTATCTCTTTCACAGCGTTCTGTTAAGTTATCATTAGGCTACTATGATTATTTCCGAATAGAAGAGAAGAGATGACAATAAATGCATTGACAGTATCTTGAATGTTAAAAATCTATCATACCATACCATAAGTAAGAGTGGAATGGGTTAAAATTTCAAATTTCATATTTCGCCCTAAAAGTATGTTAAATTACTTTAGAATTTAACATACTTTTAGGGCGAAATATGAAATTTTAACCCATTCCACTCTTACTTATGGTATGGTATGATAGATTTTTAACATTCAAGATACTGTCAATGCATTTATTGTCATCTCTTCTCTTCTATTCGGAAATAATCATAGTAGCCTAATGATAACTTAACAGAACGCCGTGAAAGAGATAATAAAATTCCATGACTTTTCAGGGCTAGAAAATTACATTTTCAATTTCCATGACTCTTATATATATATTTAGGGTGCCGTAAAGTCATAAAGGTCATAAAAATGACATGGAAAAGTTTTGAAATTTTGTCAGTGAAAAAAGTGGAAATCCTGTTCATAATATCTATGTTTGTTTCTCACAATACTAACTTAAGCATTGTCTTTTGTCTCCTCAGGGTTGCCGTCCGCCATGTTAAGGTAAAGCCTGGCTGCGCGGTGTTGACCATGCTAAAGCGCCTGGACAAGATCCGCTTCCGAGGCCCCAGGACAAGAGAGGACTTCCCGGATCTCGGAGATTCGCCGCCCGCCTCCGACAACGAATGTAGCGATGACGTGCAGCTGAAGCCCAAAGCCAGGGACACGGAGGACCTGCTCAGAGACCCTGTGAGTAAACCAATCAAAATAAAATACTCAAGATGTGACTGCGATTTGTTGTACAGCATTTCAAGTAGTAAGCTTTTGGTTGAGGTCAGCAGCACATGCCTATTCATCTGAGGTGGTTTTTCATTCTATATTTCAGCTCACTTCTTTGAACTGGTGCTCACGATGGTTCTTTTCACATGAAATTTGGCAAACTGGAACTTCTTGAATTGTAATTGTACAACATAAGAACCATCATAAGGCCATCACATGTCATTTCACTACTTACTTTATAAAAGACACACTGAACTAAAGGATTTTCACTTTAATTTTGTTAGTTTGTTTTCATTCTTTATTCTGCTAAAATATACTTTTATTTGCTTAGATTAAGAGTTTTTAGCAGGATTCTTCTGATATTTTGTTGTTCTAGATTTCTGGATTGAATAGCAAGACTTCACTTTGAGTTTTTGAGTCTTCATAGTCCATATTTAGATGGCAGAACTAGTCTCAGACCTTTAACAGTGGCAGCTTGCATCTATGGGTCTTCATTCAAACAAATATAGAGTGGTATCGGATTGGTGATGTGGTTTAGATTGTTGCAGATACCGATACTTAAAAAAATGTGAGCTATTGGAGCTAAGGAGCATTGTTCTTTAAAGGCCATATAATACGCTAAATTGACTCTTGTGAACGTTAAGCCATTTCATAATATTGTTACCTCCTCAAAAACATACCCGGAGTTCTGTTTTTTCTGTTATTATCCAAATGATTCTAGTGAAGGTGTATGGAGGTTCACAAGATGTAAGAGACTGTGTTCAGATTGTTAAAAGAACTCAGCCTAAATATGCAGGATTTGTGTGTTGAATGAAACAAAACACAAGTCCAGGTATGTTTTTGTTGAGGAAACAACATTGTAACATAGATCACAAAACAGCGTGATATGGGCCCTTTAAAAATCCAACACAAATTTACAGCAGGTTGCTTGAATAAAGTCATGACGCATTCCCTGTGATGAAGCGCAACCCCTGTACACATCTGGGAGCCTCCTCAGTCTCACATGATTCTTTGTTGTTTATGTAATCTTAGTTGTTTGTACAGTAAACCGGGAACACGCGGCTCACGTCAGTGCAACAAGGAATGTAAGAGATAAAATATTTTCAGCAAGTACAAGGCACAACGATGGCTATCAGGCACCACGGCAGGAATGGATAGATACAAATAAGAAGGAAATGGAAAAAGAGGAGAGCTGATAAGGTGAACAAGAAGCCAAAGATGGGAGTATCTCAAGGGAAAAGTGAGAAATTAGAAGTTTAACCAGCAATGAACCATGGAAAATAATCTCTGCTGTGTTTTTTGAGCCTACATCCTCCCACACCGAAGCAGCCTTGTCTCAGAAATGCTCTCATCAAATCTGCAGTCCTTCTGGTACAATAAAAACACGCTGCTGATGTCACCCCTCGCATCAGTAATGACACACTGATACTCCCACAACAACAACAAATGCACTTTTCATTCTAACAAACCATATCCAGTCAAGTTAGTGCATGCTGAAATGACATTATATTGAAATTAGGGACAGCCTGAGTGCGTCATGAGTTGGCGCCAATTGTTGCTCAGAGCTACATTTCAGTGTCACGTTGAGTAATTGGCAGATTGGTTTGTGTGGGTATTAGGGATGGGACAATAAACAATGATATCGTTTATCATGATGTAAAGAGTACTAGACATTTTATATAATTGTAATTAGAGCCCGACCGATATATCGGCTGGCCGATATTATCGGCAATTATGGGCACCTGGAGACATATCGGCTATCGGCCGATATGCTTGCTGATATGGGCCGATATTTCACGTGGGCATGTTATACCTCGTTATAAAGCTTAGACTCTCTACATTATGTTCATTTAATCCAATTTATAGATAGATAAATGTCCTAATATGTGGCTCCGCATCAGTATTTATTTGCGGTGTAATTTGTGTCCGTACTGTCCCTGAACACACCACAGAGTCACGTCACTTCACTCACGTGTGTTTGTTTACACCCGCAGCGGTGCGCAACACTGAGATTATTTTCTTTTTACGAACAATCGGCTTGAGTCTGGATTAAAAGGACTTTTATTAGTGCAGACTTGTGATGTGAGGAGGAGCCTGTGTGAGTGTTGGAAATACATCGACTTTGAAGCTAGTTTAGGTTATCTGTTAGCGATTAGCTGCTGTAGCTCCCGCACATAAACAGACTGTTTTCTATTGGTCTATTGTAAAGTGACTGTATTGGCCGTGTATTTGTTACTGGACCAGCATTGATATGTAAATGAGCTGTGAATAGACGTGTGAATGATCCACATTTATGCATATAATTAATACCGCGGTGCGCACGTTTTTACGGCTAAAGGCTAATAGCGGTAGTTTCTTTACTAGCTAGGAGTTATGGGTCGGTCGCGATCGAAGCGGCTCTTAGATCTGGCTCTTTGAAGTGAACAACAGGAGCCTGCTTCTTATTGGGAGCAGTGTTTTCTCTTTTTCTCACTTTTTCTCTTCAAGCCGCATGTAGACCCGTAGTTTGACAGCAGCAGCGGCTGAAAACGAAACTTTCAGAAATATGCGTGTGCATAGGATTAAAAAAAAGGTGCATATTTGGCTGCAGTTCAGCATAAAATGAATAAAGCAGGACTAATCTTGGGCTTGAGAGAGAGATGGAGACCGAGTCCCGACACTCAGTCCTGGTTCAGTTCTGGTTTAGTCCTGTTTTACACATGGTTTAAATCTGTTTTAGTCCTGGTTTAGTCCTTTTTCAGTCCTGGTTCAGTTTTGGTTTAGTCCTGCTTGCAACAAAACAATCAAGAGTCGCTTGGGAGCCGAAAGAGCCAGCTGCTTTAGTGAGCCGAGCCAAAAGAGACGGTTCTCCAAAAAAAAAAAAAATGGAATACCCATCACTAGTAGCTAGAATGTGATGCAAAAATGCCATTAGGCCAATCTACTGTATGTAAATATGATGTAAAGAGTCAGAATAACAATAAATGTTGCCTAAATAAACCCAATTTAGAATCCATTAGAGCCAAACCTAAGTTTTTTAAACAATTCAAGATTTACAGTGAATTTTTACATCACTAAATATATCGGCGATTATATCGGCTATCGGCAGCTCCAACTCCCATTATATCAGTTTCATATCGGCCACAACAAAATCCATATCGGTCGGGCTCTAATTGTAATAATCGCCAACAAAAATTATCTCCACTGTATCACAAGAATGTGGAGAAAAAAAGCTACTTATCCGTGATGTTTTCTTCTAGATCATTGTTGTTTTCACTTATAACAAAGTGCAGTACTAAATATTATATATGCAACTTATTCATATCCATAACAATTTTAGTGAACAATGGTCATCCCAAGCCTAGTGGGTATTGATAAGATTTGTTGTATGTAACATATTTGTTGTATGGTTGAAAAGGAGAAAAATCTGGCTACAAGTGAACTTAGATTTGTTATTTATCTTTTAAATGTAAAATGTAGTCATTGGTGGGCATTTTAGGAGTGCCCAAGCAGGAGTGTTGACATCTGAGAGAAGATTCTTAAATGTTAGCATTAGCAGGTTTTATACACAGAAGGACCCCATGGAGAGAGCATATTTTGTTGTTTGCTTATTCTAAATGTTGCCTAGGATCCAAAATACACACTCCAGTACTTTACCAAGGTGCAACTCTGGTCATTGGTAAATCTCCCCGAGTTCAGATAGATGCGATTGATAGGTGGATTAGTAAAATATAAAACAAGTATGGGAAAAAAGAAAGGAAAAAATATCACGGGGGACTGATCTGTTAATCTGACCATTGAGCCTTTTCGTTTCACATACGTCATTGAAATAAACAAATCTGATTGCACAATCATGTTGGTTCTGGCTCAAGGCGCAACAGAGTGTGTGGGGTCCAGACTGATATCTCTGTATAAAACAATAAAATAAAAAATAGATTTCATTCTGGACTTACCAGGCAATGCTCATTAAAGCAGTGTAAAAAAAACAGCTGCCATCTGATCAGGCGTCGCTTCTTTGTTCTCATATCATTAGCTTCTCTCTCTATCTAGACCTTCTTTATTGTTATTTTGTGACATATATAGAGTCTGTTTATGGTTAGGTCTGTTTGTGTTTGAGTGGTACTTTCTCCAGCCCACTGGGAAACCATTGCCCACATCATGGCTCTGAGTCACTTTCTGAACCCTAAAATAGAGCAAGATACTCTTATCCCTGCTGAGACCTGCATGCACACTCCTCGCTCACTTTGACACACAGAATATGTCAAAGCATCCCCAGCATGCAGTGCACCCACCCTTTACTTTTGACCTGCATACTCACAGTAAATCAGACTAGAATGTCAGGGTCAGTATCTTTCTAGTATCTGGACAAAGCCACATTGGTCAGCTGTCACTCACATGTTGCTTACAAATTCTGATCACAGGAGACAGGACATGTCCCTTAGGACCAGCCGTTTAATGCTCTAATTCTTGTCAAATACTAGTGTTTTTATGCCGTCTTATTTATCGGCTCAATTTCGTAATTTTCTTTTATGACTATTTACAATATGTCACTTTTCTGGAGGAAGGTTTTACTTGTCTCCATGAGGATGTTATTGTTCCACAATCATATGGCATAAACTATCTTTCTGATTGATAAACTACCAGAGATAAACTACTTGGCCTAGTTATCAGTCAGTTATCTCTGGAATGGTGATCCTTTCCCCAGTAAAAATGCTCTCAGTGTTTCTTTAATCAATAAAAATCAGATCTAATCAATACTTCAACTAGTACCAGAGCTAGATGCTTATGTGAGCAGGTAATGATACTAAAATATCACAATCACAGGACAGAAATGAACCTTTCCTGAAAAGCTATAGAATGATCTTGAGCTGCATATATACACGTATACTATCATATACTACATATACTACTATGAACCATACTTGGTCGAGAGAGGGATTACACAGATATAAGACCACATGGTAATATAGAAGAAGGTATTATGATTCAAT